TGCTAGAGGCGGCGCCATGTTCGTCGGCGGCGAGACGAGCAGAAGCCTCCGAGCGCTCGCCAACGTGTCCGTTTTAACCGGCGTGGGGCCCGTAGTGGCATGGGGTTGCGGCGGTTAGTTTTGTCTGCGCGCTGGCGGCACTCTGGGCGGCACTAATGGCTCGTTCACACTTGCGAAATACGCACTCGCCGCCGACTGGATTCACTCGCTGAAAAAAGATCGGGCCGTTCACATTTGTGGCTGCCTGCGGAGTGCGCGGCGCGCCGCGTCTTACAGTTTCCCGAAGAGAAGTGGAGCTGACGAGAGCTCCCAAACCTCCTCCTTGCCCGCGCCCGCATAGAGTAATATACACAAGGTAAATAGCGGACACTGCCATAGGCCCCAGCGGCCAAGATAGACCAGTGACAACTATCGCTCCTAGCAGGCGGCATTAAGCATAATCTGGTTCCGGTTCCGGTCAAGTTAGTTTCGGTTGGGTTGGGGATTTCTGCTCCATTTCTCCGGTACCCTTCTCCTCTTTTTTTTCCTTCTCTTTCCTCCTCGCTAGGCTCTCCAGAGCTACTCGACTCTCAAAGCCGCTTTTTTTTTTTTTAAGTTGACGCAGTTGTATTTGAATTTTTACGATAGAATTCGTGCAAAATATATCAAACAAAATTTTTATTTCACAATACAGAGGTGTATACCTTGTTTGTTTGCTTTTTTCTACTGTTAAACATTGAAGTTACACAATCTCCACATTGACTCCTGACTGGTGGAGTATCTTGGGGTCAACAACAAAGTGATTCGAAAACATTTTATTGGTCCACATTCGTATATACATGATTTACTTCAGGCGCTCTGTATGTTTTATAAGAAAAATATACTCATAAAAATAAATGAATATGAAGGAGTTCGGCATAGCGTACACCTCGTAATAGGCTTTTAGTGGAACCACGTTAACAAAAACTTTCCACAGGGAACACGCTGAGTGATCCCTTCGCTTTCACGACGACTCGGGAACAGGAAGTAAGTGCAGAAAGAAATAATTAAGACATCGCTATCATCACCATTTATTAGAGTATAATAAGAGAGCGAAGCGTAGAGCGGAGAGGACAAATTCCCAATTTCCGGCTAATATAAAACACACGAATTGGCATAGCCTGAAACACACTGTGGGAGAGCCATTTCCAAACAATGAGAACCCTATCAGAATCTGAAACGATTCAACGTCCCTAAACATTCCTCGAAATACATTTGATCAGAAAGGAAGTATGGCGTAAAAAAAGCGGCTAAAAAACTATAGACAGTGGATACAAAAGTGGATGCATTTTCTTTCAAATCTATAGCCTCTATACACTATTTTTATAGACATTCTGTAGAAAGTGGATAAATACTTTAGCAAGGTGGCCGTAATACATATTTGTTGGAAATAACTGAAATTAATGTTTGGAGTGCAAGGCGCACCGCTCAATTAGTAAGCACTTTCTGTTCTTAATTTGTTAACCATGCACCTCCGTTAATACACTATTAACACTTAAACTTATCTAGTTGCTTACCAGCCACTGGAGATTGCAGCCACACTTTTTCCAAGTTCCGGTTAAGAAATCGAACATCCCAACACGAGCGTATTCTACAAAACATTAAAAAAAATTTGTGGCACTTTGATCAAATTTAAACTACCCAGTCCTGAAAGTGTGTGGTACAAGGCAGCACACACTCCTCGAACATGCGCCACTTTCTCTATTACGGCATTAAAGTGATTTTCCAGTTGCTAAATGGAATTAAATGCAACCTGTGATAGTACTATTAGGTTCCCTAAGAGTTTTCCAGGCACATCATATGCTTTCAGCACAAGAAAGTACTGGTGAGGCCTGGTCGAGTTGTCAGACTCATCCCTCAGCAGCTGAGAACAGCCACAACTGTGGGTTGTCTGTTCAAGGAAATGCTGAATCAAATAGCTCCAACGTAATGAGTGGACAAGTCATCAATTATGTTAGACCTGATGTCCGACGTCAGCTGAGAAATACCTCTAGTGGCGGGAAGTTATGAATTGGAAGACATTCAACGTTTCTGCAATTGAACTTTCATGGAAATATTGGACACTCTTTGAGGAGGTCAGCCTTGTCATCCTCTACGTTTCCATTGTTCGACAGTTTGAACAGTTTCTTTATACGTTAGTGTTTTAGTCCCGAGGTTAACTGACACACATTTAAGTTTGTATTGCAACCCAGCATTTGTCATAGAGCTCCAAATATGTTCTCAAGTGGGTCTTGCTGCAAGCGTCGTTTAAGCAAGAACTTAAAGTCGTGGCTGTTTGAAATTTCCTCCCAGAGCATGAGGACACTCTTTATAGTAACTTACCACCCTATGATGGTTTGTGGCTACCTCCTACTTTGGAACTTCCATGCTGAAATCCATCCGAGTGGCTGGTGAAGTACATCCGAGTACCTCAGATTCTCCTTTCAGAATGGCATGACGCAACTTCTGTCCTGTCTTCATGAATTGTGAGCTATTTAGACAATCAAAAAGTCTGTCCATCCTATCACAGAAATAACCTGTCGCCACGGCTGTCTCAGGAAGCTCCTTGGCAGAAACAAAGGATAGGGCTGCGAGACAGACTGAGGCACTCAGTACCTGTGTGACACGCATTACTTTCATGTTACTCAAAGGGTTTCAAAAATGTGTCTCTCAGTAAGTTTCGTAGCCAATCGCAACCTCATCTCATTCTTAGAACTATGAATTTCAACAATATGGGACTGCTCAATTACCTAATTTTCAGTGCGAAATTGGCGCGCTTGGAGATTGTTCCTGCTTGCTTTGCTGAGATGCGGAACATCAAAGGTAGAGTAAACATGTTCGTTGTCAACTTCAAAAATGGCTTATCAACAGACATACGAAGTTAGTTGGCCAAGCTTACGTTTGAAGCCCCCTGATCACAGACCACAACCTTTACTGCGAAGCCAACAGTTTTAAGTTCCCGCAATGAGAGGAATGAGGACACTGCAGATAACAGAAGACGGTGTTGAAGTGTGCACAACAGTGTATGCATTGAACCGAACCCACCTCCTGGAAATTCGAGAGAGCACTACAACCAAGGCTCTATCTGCAACGCCGTTCAACACCGTCATCTGTAAATCCATAGACAATGTCGTGCACAGGGTCATAAGTCAAGTTCTTTTACAAAACAATCTCATCGATAACCGAGATGCACACACGATTGCAGTCCGACAGCCCGACGGAAACAACAGAACGAGAAGCTCAAGCCGCTCGGCTTCACAAACTCACACCGAGCATGCGAGCACGCGGGCGGTCATGCGTCACCTTGTTTGATGCAAAGCCGACCGAACACGCTGCAACAGAAAGCACAGACGGACGGCACGCACGGCACGGACGAACGACGCTCGGACGAGCAGAGGCCATGCAGAATGATGCTGAGCTGACGGCGTGCAGTCGGGCAGGCCCACAGCAGGCCGGGCAGGCCATGGCAGGCGCCATTCATCACGTGGTTTTGGCGACGTATCAAATTAAAACTATTTAGTCGTTTTAAGTACTCTTTTAAGTAAACCATAACAATTAAAAACATATATATTTCTCAAAGAAAGAGTTCTAACTAATTTTAACCAAATCACAGTGAAACGCCACGTAGCGGAGGGCATTAAACGCACTATGTGGGCCGCGAATCGGCTTCTGTGTCCTCTCTTTACGTTTACTCAGAGCCGTACATGTAGGGAGTTTGGCCATTCGTTGGGAAGTATAGGAGACGAATGAGGAGGCGCCATTGGCCTAAAGCGGGCTGGGCGTGTTCCAGGGCGTCTTCAGAAATTCGAATGTGACCAACCAGGAGCCGGAAATAATACCCTGGCGGTGGTCGCGAGAAACAAACCTGATAACTGCATTGGAGTAACTCTCGATAACTGAAAATATGGTACACGTGATGTTTCAATCACGCTCATCCGTAATGATGGTGGAAGAGTGCGACTAGCAGAACGATCGACATAATCCGTACGCTAAGCGCCGAGGGCCGGGAATCTGCCGTCCGAGCGGTCACACTCTGTCCGAGCAAAACAGAGTTGAGCGGCATATTCGTTTCTTACATCTTTCTGCATGATCTCTATGGATCATGATCAAAACAACACGTGCACCCTATTTTCAACCAGAAAGAGTTACTACACTTCACTCTCACGCGCTTATCAAAACCATTTACGAACGTAGACCTTTGATCAGAACTGTTTCTCGCTACCACCACTAGGGGATTCTTTTCGGCTTCTGGTTGGTCAAGAGAGCATGCCAAGCCCTATCTCCGAGTCTGCCGCACGCCCTGGCTCTGCCCGCGCCTCCCATTGACCAAACTCTCTACATATACGGCTCTGCGTTTACTATATTACTCTATGGCGCGCGTATCGTCGCCATCGTCGCCAGCTCGTCAGCGAGGATCCAATGTCAGCAAGCGCCACTTCCCCCGTGCGCTCTGATTGGCTTGCGGCGAGCCAAAGTTTTTTTCCGGCGTTCGAAATCGGTCCCAGAGCGATCTTGCTCTCTGCCGGAAATTCTGCCTGCTTTCGTCGCCCGGCGTCAGAATTCTCGCGAATCCGGCCGCTGGTTCGCAAGTGTGAACGAGTCATAAGGGGCCTTAGGCGGAACTAGGGTGCCTCGATGTCAGCGCCGCCTTCCACGGTGAGGACATCCTTTGACCCGCGCGACGCAGCCACCTCCTCGCCACGGCGCCATCTTGGTTCAAACGACGGAGTATGCGTGCGGTGCGTGCGATAGGACGTAGAGTATTTAGTGACTCTAGGTTGGACGTGCGGCGCGACTATCTTTGGCCGTGGGTCGGGCTGTGCGCAAAAAAGTCTGTCTGATCTTATCACTGATCTCATAGAGATCGGTGGGTCTTACTGACTTCAACAGCGGTCGTCCGAGCAGAAGCATGACCGGCTGTTCTGTACCGCTGTGTGCCGCTTCGTCGCGGCAAAGGGAGTCCGATGCTTCCGCTTTCCCCAAGAAAAGGCGCGAAGAAGGAAATGGGAGTCCTGCGTCAAGCGCGGACGCTGGAAGGCAAGTCACACCTCGAGGATCTGCGAGGTAAGTTACAAAACACGACCACTTTATTACGATATTAGGCAGTATTCAGAAATTGTCTTAGTAGCTCCGATCGATTGCTTCATGATCGGAGTTGTTCGACTCAAAATCAGCCCTCGCTTTTCCTCACCGGTCGGATCGAGCGATCAATCGGAGTTGTGACGTAAGGAATTGATTCTCTAAAGCACCCCATCCCCGAGTTTTAAGGTAATACCTATATCGATATCCCTTTTCTGCCATTAGGGCATGTTCACTAATTAGACTTCCCCGATCAAAATAGGTTGAGGCGGTAGCTTTTCAGCGTGCGAGTTTCTCGCTCGTGCACAACTTTGTGATAACTTTTTGTGCTTATTTTACTGTTCAAAGAGCCTGAAACGATCTGATAAGCGCGGAATTCGGTCGCGTGCACGTGCACCAAGTTTCTGTGGTTCAGTGACTGCATGCTATCCTCACCTTTCGATCAATAGCCTTGATTCGCGACTGGCCACCAACTTTTTCGTTTTTTTTGTTGGATTCTTTTTGTGTGTGTATGAAAATAATCGTTGATGGTGAACCTCGAGCATGAACAATAATATGTTTTCGAGACGATACTCGCGAATGCAAAAATCGCGACATATCTCGGTAGTCGGCTTGTGATCTATTTTATGGTCATGTCGCACAGCTCGACGTGCTTGACAAAATGATATGACCTTGTCCCTGTTTGATTAGTACTTACGTCGCTCCCTTCGTGCAAGGCCGAAAAATTAAATAAAATAAAGCGCATTTTACGGTAACATTTTTTTTTAAATATATTCAGGATTATTTTGACGTGACATATTATGCAAATATTTTCTTCAATTTTTGTTTACGCTCACGTCTGTGCCTTCCAATCTGCACATAAATAACAATCTCATTTTTTGTTTATATCAGCGCCACTCCGAAGAAGACCAGTACGAGATGAACCGCCAAGATGGGTGGCGACTTCTCAAGCGGACAGCTGTACCTACGTTGTTTGATTTCAGACGTAAGTGTTACTATTACTATATGAAGCACAATTACTGTCTGTGCCTCACTCGTTTGCGTACAATTTTATTTTGTGTTTAGGTCTGTGCTGTCTCTCCCTTTGCTGCGCAGCGCAGCGGAAGCGAAGAAACCCTCCGCACGGCGAGCTCCTCCGGTTGATCGTGGAGATGCAACAATTGGTCGTGCAGGTCCTTCGTCCATTTTTGCGGCAGGAGTCTCGGACTAAGAAGACTCTGGCACGGAGGACACTCAGGCAAACCCCATTTCAGAAGAAAATGTTCACGACCGCCTGGACGATACAGTTGATATCGTGACACTGCATACAAGTGAACTGCAGAAAACTTTGCAAGACACAAAAAGGAAAAACTGCGATTTGGAAGGAAGCCTGTCAGCCGCAAAGAAGTTAAAGAGAGCTTTAAGAAAACCAAGGCAGCTAGAAACAAAACTTTCCACCTTGACCAGAAATTTGACATTTCTAAACGAAGACCAAAAAAGTGTTTTGGAAAAACTGAACAGAAGAGGCTGTGCTTTGAGTGCTGACACCATACGGAAGGGACTACAGCTCAAGTTTGCCTGTGGCTCCACAGGCAAACTTGAGCAGGGCGACCCCCTCCCGACGAGAAGGACGCTGTGCAGGAGACTGCAACACCTGTCATTTCAGCCTGGAGGTGTGCTAACTGAAATATTGCGTGTGATGGTAACGAAAGTCGCTGCGATGTGAGACATTGAAAATGATTGCGTCCTTTTTCCTGATGAAATGGAAATTCGAAAAGGCGTTGTGTTGGACCGTGGCAATGACACTTTGCTTGGAAAACGACGCTGCCCAAGAGTGACCATCGTGCAAACCATGCTCTCGTTTTTATGGTGGGAGGGATCAACTCACGCTGGAAACAAGTCATAGCATACCACTACACGGGCGCATATATCAACGGAGACGAGCTGAAGAAGCTTGTTTTTGACTTAATCAAGCTCTGTGCGGACATTTCACTACGTGTGCTCTGTGTGACGTGTGATATGGGCAGTTCTAACCGTGCCATGTGGAGATCCCTAAACCTCTCCAGTTCCCGCAGTTCTGTGACCGTATGCAGTGTGCCGCATCCCTGTGATGATGGTAAGCCATTGTTCTTCATGGCAGACCCCGCACATGTGTTGAAAAATATAAGAGGGCACCTTGTACGAAAAGACGTGATGCACCTAAGTGATGAGGTGGTCTCCAAGTTCAGTTCACCAAGCAGCGAAGTCTCAATAGAGCAGGTGGAAATGGTGCTAAAGTTGGACACTGAGCAGCTGCGTGTGGCACCCAACTTAAACAGTGCTCATGTGTCAAATGGCCATTTCACAAAAATGAAAGTCGGAATGGCGGTGCAGCTATTCACGGAAGCTCCCTCGGCCATTCGGTATTTTATCCAACAGAACAAACTGCCAGTTAAGGCCGAAGCAACTGCCTGGTTTTTCGGACTGGTGTTTAAATGGTACACCCTAATGACCTCTCGTCATCCTGTCGTTGCTTTGAGTTTGGCGAATGAGAGCAAGTATGAGGAGGCCGTTTCAACTCTGAAGCGCAGTATTTGTGTTGTTGAGAGCTTGGGGATCGGAGTGAAGGAAGTATGGAAGCCATGCCAGGCAGGGGTACTAATGTCGACAACTGTAGTGTTGCAATTGCACGGTGTTCTTTTGAAAGAGTGCGGCTACAATTTTTTGCTGACAGGACGGTTCACTCAAGACTTTCTTGAGAACCTGTTTTCAGTTGTCAGAATGATTTTTCCAGTGCCAAACGCATACGGCGTAAAAAATGCACTCAAATTGTGACAGTAAGCCAGTTCATCAGTCCCCTAAAATTCAGGCTACGACATTGACGACAGCACCTACCTGGTAGATTTCCTTACCGCAGAAATCAAAGAAGTGCAGCAAGAAGTTGAAGAGCCTCCAGGAGATGATGAGATTATAGAAATGGAACCACTCTCTAGAACCAAGTCCGACATTGTTGCTCATTTGGCAGGGTTTTTGGTTAAACCTCTGTTCTCCGCTGTACAGTCGTGTCGTGTCTGCACACAAATGCTAACTGCAGAAGATACTTCCGAGGAGCATGCTCTTGTGCTTATGAAAGAATATGTTCAAGGTGGAAAACACCTCACTTACGTCAGCCTGGAAATCTTCAACTTGGTTTCTTGTTGTGAGGAGATATTTAAAGCGTTCTCAGAAGAAGAGGACATTTGTCTTTTGAAGAGCCCAATGAAGACCGTGAGGCGAATCATTGAGCAATCTGTTCCTGTTCCCCGTGTTGCGTGCAGCAAAAACCCAGATATAATGCGCAGGTTGTTCGAGCGTTTCTTCGTAATGCGCCTGCGCATTTACTTGCATTGGCTAAGTCTGCCGGAAGAGTCAGATGATGGCTATAGTAGTAAAACGGTCGCCGATACCAACCTGCAGTGAGATGCAACTTTTCGCTTTTGCAGAAATAAATCTTGTTGTATACTGAGTTAAGGTATTTGTGTCTTTTTCCTGTAACGTGGCATGTGCTATAGTCCGTTGCAACTCAAGAAGGTGGGGCGAGGGAAAGGAAGGCCGGCGAGGAGAAAGCAGGCTGAACGCTAGAGAGAGGAGGAGGTTTCCCCCTCTCCTCTCCAGCGTTTCGTCTGCTTCCTCTTTCCCGGCCTTCTTCTCCTTCGCCCTACCTTCTTGAGTTGCAACGGACTCTAGTAAACATATTTAGTTTAATAAATTACTGAACAAGTGCATAATATACAAACCGAGCTCTGCAATAAGTACCTCATAATGGTAGAACAGTTGCTCCATTTAACAACCCTACGCAAAGTCGCTACAATGTATAATATTCTGCCATTATGTGCTACTCCATATCTTGATCAGTACGGATAGGGGTTGCTACTTAAAAGTGCTGCACTCGCTTTAGGAAAAAAAAAAAAGATGTGGCAATTAAAAAAGGAAAAAAAAAAAGGACGTGAGAACCCAAAGGCCGTGTGCTCGCTTGTCATGACGTTTGCGTCGCATATGCTCATTTTATTCTTTATTTGTATGAGCAAAAATACTGATACGGGCGTCTGAGTTGGAAAATACAACGCGAAATGGAAGTTACATGACGGCAGCCTACGTAAGCACATCCTAGGTTAGAAGTAGCCCGCCCGCAATAGCGCATCGGCATGCGCTTGAACCAAGATGGCGGCGCCGACGGAGATGTCTCCACCCTGGACGGAGGCGCATTTATCCAGGCACCGTAGGTGGCACTAGAGTTCTAGGTGGCACGGACACGCAGCGCCATCTAGCGGCGGTCGTTGAAACTGACGCGCGCAATCTTCTCGTAAACTTCTCGTAGAAGTAGAAACTGAAGTTCAAAGTAGAACACTTTTAAAACAGACATGTCTAGGAGAACACCAGATAAGGGTCAGCCCACACCGGACACTGAACAGTGTCCGAGGTGTCATCTCCGAGGCTGATCTCATAGACTGCAGCGAGGATGAAATTCTGGCTGGACACCAGAAACAGGCTGTGGTGGCCGTCAAGCGGATCGCCATCCGTAAAGCCGGGCAGGAGCAGCCAATCAAGCATCTGATGCTGACCTTTGAGCTGCATACGCTTCCTACGACCGTTAAAGCTGGTTATTTGCTCTGCAAAGTCCGGCCTTTCATTCCCAACCCACAAAGATGTTTCCGATGTCAGCGCTTCGGGCATGGCTCGCGAAACTGTCGGGGCCGTGAAAGTTGCGCAAAGTGTGGCAGCAACGACCATGTTGCTGACATTTGTGAGAATACTCTCAAATGTGTCAACTGCCAAGGCAACCATGCTGCTTATGCCAGAACATGCCCACAATGGAAACAAGAAAAAGAAATCCTAACCCTTAAAGCACAAAAGAACATAACCTACCAGGAGGCAAAACAACAGTATTCCTTTTTTTGCAAAAGGAACTTTTGCCCAGGCGGTGCAAAGGGGACCAGCACCGCGAACAGAATTGAAGGCCACCCAGGTCTCGCCTGAGGTCCTGGCAGTGGCTCTTCAGTCCCCAACCCCCAGCAGCACCAGCAGCTTCCTCCGGTTTCTGGAGGGAGCCCACCAGCTGCTTCTCGACCACGGGACAGGCAGGAAGCCCCTCTGTCTGTCCCCACTCCCAAGTTTGACAAAGCCAACTGGACACTTTTTAAGCAATCATCTCTTTTAGCTATTACATCCCTCCATCAGCTCTCTGTCAATGAGGCAACAGGTTATGTCACAAAACACATACTAGAAGTTGCTATGCTTGCAATACCAATGACGTCCACTCACCTCCCCAAACGGCCAAAGCCGTGGTGGAATCAGGACTAGAGTGTCGAACCGAAATTTTTATCGGTTCGGTTCCGGTTCGGGTTCACGGCTTTCGGTTCGGTTCCGGTTCAGTTCCGGGGAGAAAAAAAGAACGGTTCAAACCGGTTCGAACCGGTTCGAACCGGTTTAAACCGCTAAATTGAGAATATATTTTTCGCGTTGTTTTGGCAAAATACACTATTTACACCGTGAAACGATTAATTATATAGTTTCTTCAATCGTCCACGCAATTTACTTTTGTTTTTAGGTGCCAAAAATATTAAATTCAGTTATTTAATTTCGACGCAATAGAAGAAAAAAATCTACATTAACATACATAACGTCGTGTTCATACGACTCCAGATCCCTTTGTTCACCAGTAACATATATTTCACCTGAATCAAAATGTTTAAGTACAAGAGTAAAGATTTGAGCTGGTTGGTACATAGCTGTAAATAGATCAGCTTCAAATTTAGAACTATACTGTATTTTATTGTGCTTTCTTCGTGTTTAAGTGAAATTCTAAAGTTCAAGCTGTCTATTTACGCGGCATAAAATGTTGTCGCAGAGTGAGGTAGGTCGCCTAAAATACCCGTGATTGGTACAACTTTGTGTCGTAGTGTTAAAAATGAAATCGTGATTGTGTCCTTGAACTAAGAATTCATTACATCACATAAAATTATGAAATGAGCACCTCGTGCTCATGCTAATTATGAAAGAAGGTTTACGAAATACAATTCACAATATATATGTATATGATGACAACACAACTGAGCTAAAAGCAATGAAATTTTCAGAACGTAACAAAAGTTTCAGGATAATTCCTTTCAGTCTATTTTTTACAGAAACACCGAGCGGCAATCCAAATGCTTGTTCTTCTAACCAAACATTGTTTACACTCAGCACCGCATGCATGCCACTAATCATGCAGCAAGAAGTAATCGCAATTGTTCACACTAATCTATACGCACCTCCGCACTCAGATCGAATGGACCAAACTAGCGCTTGCCCAAGTGAACATTTTCTTATGCAGAATAAGCTGGCATAGCCTGGCTGTTGAGGTTTGTTCTTGACAAGATGCCGGTCAATTTAATTTACAAATGAGCATCACCTTTGCTTACTGATGATTTTAACCCGATAGCGTTAAGGAGCTCATGTCGCAGAAGAGCCGATGTCGGTGGCGTGACTGGAAAATCCTGATTGGTCGATAGATTCATGACGTCAGAGCTACATACCCTCGCGCAAGAATTTCGAGCAACCCACAATGCTCAGGTGAAACATGACATCACGCGTGGAATGAGAGTGATTAAAACATGACATGTAATGCGAATTAAAGGTCACCGTATGTCTCAAATGATTTCACTTTTAAAAGTAATTATTTTGCCTTAAAGAAAAAAAAAATTTAGAATTTTAGGTAGGATTCGAACCTACGACCCTTTAGTTGCGAGTCAGACGCTTTTTACTGGGAACGGCGCGAGCGTCTAACACGACAAAAACGTGCTTTTTGGTAAGAGCGTTTTTGCAAGCAAAGTAGTTTCCGGAGTCACGCTTTTTGGTCTGCGCCAAAGATGCAGGGAAGAGGAACCTTTACAACACAGTATGTTCTTGAAACTCCCCCCCTCCCCCCTCCCCCCACACACACGCACTTCTTTATACAGCGGAACTGTTAAGGGTTTGTTTCCCCAGTGTCGTGTCCGTCAGCAAACAAATGATGACACTAAACTCTGGACAGCTACCGCCATCTATAAATGACGACGACAACCAGACAACCGGCTTGCCAGTCGCTGCCGTCCCGCATAGATGGCGGCAAGCTCTCCAGCCTTTCCACTCTGGCTTGCCGGCTTGCGGCCGGCCATTACTTCATTTTCACCATAGTACAGCTTCGCTGGTCTTCCTTCTTCACCAGAGTGGAAAGGCTGAAAGCATTTCTGAGGAATTGCCTCCTCCGTTGGTGTGTGTTCATTCGACAATTTTATTTGACACTTGTTAACCGCAACCCTTCATTGCTTTTATATTGTACCCCGTGAAGTTAAGATGGGTTATAAAACGACATCGGGTTGGAATGTTCATGACTTTTCCGAGGCTTACTGATCCTAGTCTGGCCCAAGTTTACTCGCACAGACCGCCACTAATTCAGAAGCTTCTTTGTCGCGGTGAAATTGCGAGGATCAAATGTGACTATTTCTTTTAGTCTTGCCTTCCCAAAGATTGATGTCGCAATTTTTTTTTAAACCACCTGCCTGACGACAGTCGAGCGCGGCTCATGGATTGGACAGGAGGACTGCGTGAGCACCGCACATCGGCTCGTAACAATCAATGTCTTGGCAGACACTCGGGTAGTGGCTCGTGTCCAACCACTGCGGTGATGAGAAGAGCCGAACTCTAACAATGCCTGGAGCTGAGCACGTGTTTTCTTCCTTTAAAACCCCAGCGCGGGGGTATGATTAACGTTGGCGGCATAAGACAGGCGCCAGGCCACATGGTTGCTTCTGGCTCCGAATTGAGGGGATGAACGATGCTCATATTTCTCGAATTGTTTGGCGACTGCCATTGCCTAGAAAAAATAGCAAAGCCAAGTTCAAGCAGTTATTAACGTTAGGGATTGATCCTGAGTAGTATTTAGTGATGTATAGAAATATTTTATAGCTTTTTTAAGCAAAGTACAGAGGGAGTCTAAACTTGGGCAATAACTTGAGAACGACGCTCGTGTGAGACTTGCAGCGACTGCCAACGTTCGGCTGTCTCTCTGAGGTCACTAAAATATCTTCTTTTTTTTTTAGTACTCTTCCGTGCACACATGTAGTTCTATGTAACGTCATATTAATAAGTCGAATTTAGTAATTTCAGTACTTCTCTTCTCAGGGACATCTTTCGGATGCAGTTAGCAAGAACGAAAAATTATTTGGGTGCTCAATAATGTAAAATGGGTCTTGCAACAATTTTTCTTATACTTTCAATAACTAGTGTTAAGAAATAACCCCTAACGTTGATAGCTTGCGGAAACATCGATTAGTTTTCCCCCAAGAGCAGATGCAGAAAAAATAAAGGAAAGAGACAGCTGTCGATATCTCCTTAACTCGCAATTTAAACAAGCGGCCACGAGATCTGATACCGCCAGTGTTCATCACAGTCATGCTCTA